CCTTTATATTGCGGATGGAGAAAGAAAGCCAATAAGTAAATATCTTCGTCAAATTCTTTGTATCTATTAAAGAAATTTGATTACTTACTTCAGTTATTTAGTTTTTTATTAAACTAAAATTATTTTGAATATTACCTCTCATTGAAGGCTTTAATACAAGAATTCTTTAATGAGCGGTAATCATTCATTGGCATTTGTTTAAAAAAAGTTGCAATTCTAAGGAGATAAAGGTAACAATCTGCCAATGTAGTATACGTTCTTTCAAGCATAAGAATTGCCTCTTTTATCGGTTTAAGAATATCTGATATTACGCGAACATCGTCAAAAAACCCTCATTTTTTCAAAATAACTTTAATAGCTTGATTTGAAATTTCGTGTTCGTGATTTTCCAGAACCTAATTTAAATAAAATTAAATTTTTTTTTTAAAAAAAAAAATAATTCATCTTATTAACATACGTGCTGTAAAGCATCTTTTAATCTCCACACAGAATGTACACATCACTGGTAAAAAAATGATTTATCCTACACATATCTTACACATATTAGGTACTCAAAATGTAGAAAATCATACACAAATAATACACATATCATACACATATCGGGTACTAATATATATATCATACATATATCAGGTACCTGATAGGTATACTATATATATAAGTACCCGATATGTGTATGATATGTGTATTATTTGTATATAATTTTCTACATTTTGAGTACCTGATATATGTAAGATATGTGTAGGATATGTGTAGGATAGACCATTTTTTTACCAGTGCATTCATAGACAGTCATCCATCTTGTTTCTACGTAAGTTTTCAGCCCTCCGCCTTCAATATTTTTACTTTTGATTGTTTCATTGAGCCATGATGATCTAAGGGTAGAATTTTTAAAATATTTTGTTAGAATGTTTGCACATCTCACTATATATTTAACTTCATCTATTTTTACAATAGACGTGCTTATCAGGTTTACGCAATGCGTGATACATCGCACATTAATGATATTTGGGTAATTGTTGGTAATTATTTTACATGCTGCTGCAACATTCGAGCCATTATCTGACACAATAGCAACAAACTTTTTGGCTCCCACTTTATTGATAACTTTCTCAATAACGTTAGATAAATGCTCTCCTGTATGGCGAATATTTGAAAGATCCTCAAGACTTAAAAGATATTCTTTCTTTGACCCAATCATTAACATGAATGCCCAAAGGCTATTCCCATGTGGATCGGTCCAACTATCTATCGCTAATGAACATAAATACATATCAAAACTGTTAATATTTTACAAAAATTTCTTCATTTTAATTTAAATTAAAAAATCTTACCAATAGTAAAGTTATTGTCAGCACTTAATTCATTCATAATGCATATATTTACGCGAGATGTTTCAGATTCTAATAAAGTACCATTCAAAACTTGCCTTGAGGGAGGATCATATCCTGGTTGTAAAGTTTTGATCAAATCGATAAACCAAGGATTTTCAATTATACTGAAAGGAATATTGCACATTATGAAAGCTTTTGTAACTGAACGATTTATTTCATCACAATAACCTTTTTCTAATTCTTTATTCTTGTAAAAAGATCAGATGGATGTTTGGCCATCATTGAGCCTTTGTTTTTTAGTTGTTAATTCTGATTCGCTTTCATCATCTTCTTCGTTCTCTGCTATTTCATTACCTACAATTTTTGCGAACTGTAATGACACTTCTTGCAGACATTTTCGGCAATGATTTTCTAAGTGCTCACGTAAAACGTGAGGTTTTCCATCCTTTCAACAAAAGTTACAATAGCTGCATGTCGCAGCGTAATGCCCTCTTGTCCTCTGTATTCCTTTTATCATATGTCCATTCCACACCTCTGTAAAATGACGTCCTTTTCTTAAATTTTCTAAAGGTTCTGAACTTGTCATTTTATCAAAGAAAAATTAGGAACCTAAAATATTAAAAATAAACGACTAATGAAATGATGAAAATAAGCGCGAAATATTTTGTCAACAATTCGGGTTTAAATTCAGGAGTATTCAGGGATGTTGAGTCACGTACTTACATAGTTACATTTTGAGAATACAGTCAACTCTCTTTATAGTCACACATTTGGGACAGTCCATATTTGGTGATTATAAAGAGATGTGACTATATAAAAAATTTCTTATATTAGTATATCATAATTCTGGCCAAAAATTAACATAATTTTAGCCAAAATTATACTCAAAACTTTATTGTATCGTAACTCCGCCAATATTAATCATAGAGAGATGATCTTACTGCCATTCGATTCGTCTTGATGAGACGGTTCTAATGGTATAAAATACATCGAAATCCAATCACTAGATTAATTTCCGAAATTAAAAAAAATATTAATGATTTTTGTGTAATAACTCCGCCAATATTGATCTTAGAGAGACGTTCTTACCACCATTCGATTCGTCTTGATGAGACGGTTCTAATGGTATAAAATATATCGAAATCCAATCACTATATTAATTTCCAAAATTAAAAAAATATTAATGGTTTTTGTGTAATAACTCTGCTAATATTGATCCTAGAAAGACAATCTTACTACCATTCGATTCGTCTTGATGAGACGAATCTAATGGTATAAGATACATCGAAATCCAATCACTAGATCAATTTCCGAAATTAAAAAATATTAAATGGTTTTTAATTAATAACTCC